CACTGATTAAAATTAGTTCAGAATTATCATTATTTATATTTGCTCTTTATACTTCATAGGTATTGCTCAGAATTCCTGATTCTGCAAATTCAGTTCTGTGTAGTTGTTGCTGTTGCTCTTGTTATTTGCCTTCATGTTGTTTTTGATGACCTTAAGGTGAAACCATCATGGTTTGTTCAGAGCTGGTTTGCCATTGTATTTCTCTCAGGCTGAGAGAGTGTAAATTGTCCAAAGTAATCCAGAGCATATCCATGGCCAGAACCTTGGTCTCCCAGAGTTCTAATCCAATACTCAAACCACACCATCACACTGGCTCACAATTGCCTACTTAAATCAAATACTAATAGTCCAAGAGCCCATGTCAAAACATTTACATCACAAGATATAAAAGGGTTGGCAATTTAGAAATCTTATCCAAAAAAAGTTTAGTTAGGACTTATCACAGATCATTTTATTTACTAAATCAGACCATTTAATTTATTTAGCTTATTTATTTAGTTAGTTACAGGATGAAAAATGTTTGCATGTCTTACTTGTTTTCAGTTCTGATGTGACCTTCAGGGGGGAAAATAACACCAATGCCATGTTTCATCTTCTTCTTCAACCCCAAAGCTATAAGATATCTCATATATTCTCGCTGCTTTCCAGAATGCTGAACAGCCATACTTCCCTCCTTTTGGAAAAGGTTACTATCCAATGACAACAATGAAATCCAGACAGGAATTTGTCCAATAGGCTTGCTAGTTTTCTGACATCAATGAACCTCAAACAGTTCTTTGACTGCAGGTCTTCCTCCATCCAAAGATTCAGTTCTCTATTGAAGTGTGAATTACTTCTCAGAAGAATGATGAGTGTAATTTGGGTGTAAAGGAAAATTACTGGGTGAGATATGCGGCCCTGCAATGTAGTTGAGCTAACTGGGAATGTGTTTCTTTATGGGAGCATTCCAAGGAACATTCTTTGTTGCACTACATGCTAGTATTGTCAATATGGAATACATAACTTTATTTTAAGGCTGCACACAATCCTTTTGAATGAAGATTAATATAATCATCAGATACCCACACTTTCACTGGCAATGCAACCAGAGCCATACCTTCACTGGATACCCAGATACCCCCAGTTTCACTCGAAATGCTGTTTCTCAGCACACTAGTAAGACAAGAAAGAAGGTGATTTCAATTCTTCTCTCTTGTTGAAGGTCTTCCATTGAAAATATATGTCACTGTCACTGTCCTATTTTACAAGACTTTATCTCGCAATTCATCTAGATGTTGAAACAATCTGACTTAGGATATACAGAAGGACATTGTAGCAACCAATCTTCAGCTTATGGGAGAAGGTTCCTGTGTGCAGACTCTTTTTCAGTAGTTCTGAGAAGTGATTTATTATTTTATAGCATGTAAGAGGCACTGGCTTCAGGGGGATATGACAGCTCTCCTGACATCTGTTCTTGTTGAAATAGTTTTAATGCTAGGCACAGAAGTAGTTCCATTAAATAGCTTTTCACCTTGGATTCAACTACCTTTCCATCATATTTATTTTTGCTTCTGAATGCCTATTTTACACCTTATAATTGGGTTGGGGAAAAACACAATGGTTTCTCATAGCACAGTTCAATACAACTGTTGTGAGTTTCATTTCTAATATGGAATATAACAAAAACAGCTATAGTGGCTGATGTAGCTTCCCCAGAATGGATGCTGCAAAGCAGTGAAGATTTGGTGTTTGCATTTAATAGATTTAGACTTCTTTCAATCATTACAATGATGCTGTTCCATGGTGCACAATCTTTTCTTATGCTGGCAGGTGGAAGTTCAGCAGCAACATCTTCCTGTTTGTAAAAGAGACTCTTTATAAGCACTGTTCAAAATGCTTATGCTTATGAAATGGCATCATGACCATCTTTGTCTGGAAGATATTGAGACTGGTAAGTGTTGAAATTCCTGTTAGCTAATCTGTAGCATTACTACTGACTGTCACATCAACAGAATATCTTGAGAACCCATTTCCTGTTCAAGGTAATGACAGATAGCTTTGCAGAAAGGAATTCATAATGCAAGGAGGAGTCTCTTCCATTTTCTGCATCTTGTCTTTCAATCAAAAAGTAATCTTACATAGTTTGACTGCCAAATACAAAGAACAAGCTGGATGCAGCAATATGTAAAACAGTTTGGTCGCTCAAATGTATGTTGTGGAAAAAACCTGTAAAACAGGTGAATTTGATGTAGGTAAATCAATGCCATACAGTTGTCTCACTGACTCAGTTTTCCACATGTGCATTGATGACACTTTCTCGTTCTTATTTCTATAGCCAAATCTTCCTTTCTGATAGCTGAAGGTAACTCACATGAACAATGAAGCTCCTCAACTATTTCAAAAGGGATTAACAACTAGAACTGTGTGTATTAAAATGTAAGATTTCCATAGTTGTGTTAGGAAATGATGCACTCTTTTACACTCCTTGTACTGAGTATCTCGCATGAACAGATTCAGTGATCCTTCACCAAGTACTCAAATTTCTGCTAGGATGCAGGTGCTTCAATGTGTTTAAGAAACTTTCCAAGTACTTTTAGATATACTAAGTAGATGTAAAATCCACCAAATATTATGAAAAAGTTGTTCAATGTTAGCTTTTTGTTTGTTTGCATTGGAAGGGCAAATTTTGCAAAAGCCAAATCTTATGTTCCAATGATGTAATTCCTCTGACACACCTTGGCTATTCTGAGAGATCCTTCCACAATTTCCTTATTAGCATACTTATATCTTGTGACATATAATAAGATCTCAGGATGTTCTATTATTTAAGTGGGTTAAATAATTTTAAAAATTGAAACAGGAAAATTTAATCATTTTAAAGTATATTAAAGAATTTCTAAAATTCTAAAAAGTTAATACAGTTTAATACTACATATTTAGCTATAGATTTGAATGAAATCATTGGGTTCCAAAGGCTTTAATAAAAAGACATGTTTTATCTTGGGCCTTGTCTGCATGAGCCAAAAGGCCCATTCCCCTACGTTCTGGCATTGTCCTGGTTGGATGATGCATGGCTCAAACTCCAGTTCTGGTAAGAGCAGTCTGGATGACATCTGGCACATTCAGCACCAAAACTGACATATAAAACCTTAAAGCAAGTTTAAAAAACAACATACCTTAGTTTCCACACCAGTGCAATTGTCTGCACAGGCATCCTGCTGAGCTGCCCTGCACATCCACCACTGTCATCAGTCACTTGCTTTTTGCTCAGAACAAGGCGCCCAACCATGTGATGATCATCACTAGGTGCTTCATTTTGACCTCAGAAGTGAACTACCCACAGTGGCAGCAGACAGGTGAGTGGTTCAGCAGGATATCTATGCAGACAGCTGCTCAGTGTGGAAACAAAGGGCCAGGTAATGGAGAAATGTCAGAGCAGATCCAAGACCAAGATACCGGTACTCCAGGCTACTCTCAGAGTATCCTGGCCAGTACAGACAAGGCCCTTGTGCCAGAATGTGTATTACTGCCCCCCCTGCAACAAACACAAAGGGCACTTCACAGCCAGCACCATAGCAAAAAGGTCTTCTTCCATGCATACCCTCCTGCAATGTATTATTTCCACTGATGGGACATAGAAGAGGGCCACTCTATCAGATATATAGCCACAGGACCTCTATCAGCTATCAAGTCTCAGACTATTTAGGGTTTCAGATATCATTACCACTACCCTGAATTCAGAATGGAAGCCTAGTAGTAGCCAGTGCAATTCCTTAAAAATTGGCAGCCAGAACAGTTCTTTTAAAATTACGTTTAGTGCTGTTGGGACATAAATGATTTGTGAAAATAGGTGATTTTCTGCTGAAGATAATCCACTAAAACATAGGAATTTGAATTCCATGTTGTGCAGCAGGAGGGTGAGAGTGGAGAACATTTTGTTAAAATTTCCAATGGAGCATTGGATTTTGCATGCCATAGTTTCAAGGAAGAAAGCTTTCCATCAACAGTGTCTACCTGCATATAATTATCAACCAATGCAATTTCCATTATTGTTAATAATATGGTTGGTAATTTTATGTCTTGGTTACCTGCTGTTCATCAAAATGCATACCCTGCTTCCATTTCTTCTTCTCTAACATTTCTCCTTCTCTATAGGCTTGTCATAACAGCAATATTAAAATAGTTAGCATATATTGGGTTGGGTGAGGTCTTAGGAAAAAAATGATTCCTTCAGTATAGTTGTTTCTAACAACTGACATGTATTAGTTCCATAAGAAAAAAGAATCTTTATTCAGTTTGCTAGAACTATGAGAAAAGTTAATGGCATATAAACTGAAAATACATTGCGTGTATCTATACCTTGTAAAATCTGTGTCCATGAAAACTTTTAACTTACAAAATAATGGTCTCTCTTCAAGGGTATAAGTTTTATTATAGAATCGTAATGTGATTATACATGCATACAACTGTTTGAATGGTCATTACTGAATGATCAAATTGAAATGTGAAACTGAAGAGTTGCTGTTAGGACCTTATCAAATTCTGATAATGCTATACAGTAGAATTTAGTCTTAGGCAATTGTCTATAGACCAGTTTTGTTAAACCATTATTATGTATTATATATTATGGAAACTGGAATTTTGGGACAATAACTCAACAATCATCCATGGTGAGGAAGAGTAAAGTGTAGCTTCCAGCAGCCCTAGCCAACATATCCAATGCTGAGAAACAATGCTGCAGTCCAATAACACCAACAGAGCCCACTCAAAGCAGAGGTTACATATTCTCAAATGCCAACTCCTGTTAACAGAAGAGAGAATAGTGTAGGAATAAATTTTGAATTGCTATCATAAAACCCTAAAGAGTCCAAAAATGTAGGTGTCAATCTACATAGAAAATAAAATACTTTCAGCTTTCATATTCATCAGGAGTAGGTCTTTTGTATTGTTAAGTATTCTTGCCCACTCAAAATCAAGCCACCCCAAAACACTTCCAATAACAAGAGGGGTAACTCATCAGAGCCAGCGTGGTCCAGTGGTTTGAATGTTGGACTATGACTCTGGAGATCAGGGTTTAATTCCCAGCTCAGTGATGGAAACCCACCGAGTAATCTTGGGGCCAGGCAAGTCACACACTCTCATCCCTAGAAAACCCCATGATAAGGTCACCTAAGGGTCACCATAAGTCAGAAATGACTTGAAAGCATGAAACTCATGATAATACATTGTTGATTGAAAATCCACTTCCGCTCCAACTACACTGGGGGTTACAGCTGAACATAAAGGGGGGAAGTCCAAAAGGAGTCCAAAGAAGGGTGGAGAATCATATGTTGATGTTTTCTTCACTAATCAAGAAGTTCTGGTGTTTCAACCTTGTGAGCCCTGGTTCCACTATATTATTTGTTTGTTTGTTTGTTTATTGTATTTATACCCTGCTTTCCAGCCACAAAGGCTCTCAGAGCGGTTTACAGATAGTTAATTAGACATTTCCCTGCCCTCAGGCTTACAATCTAAAAAGACATGACACAAAAGGAGAAAGGAATGGCAGTGGGGAAGAGGATCAGGTCCAGCAGTTCTCCTCTCCCTCTGAGGCCTGGACCATGGCAGATGGACTGGAGGGAGGGCTCATCTTCTTACTTTAGGCTAGGCCTGATGGAGCTGGGCCTGACTTTTGCTCCCACTATGCCATAGATGACTGATCAATAATCACCATAAAAGAAGTCCAGTATACCACTAAGTAGAGATTAATAATCATCATAACAGAAGTCCAAAACCCAAGTAAAATAAGCCCAGTTTTTGCTTACCCCTTAGAGCTGGTAGCAGGGACCTCTCTTTCTTGTCATCACATTTGTTACATTCACTGAAGTACAAGAGCAGAAACACATCCACCAGCACCCACATCAGGGAAGTGGCAAGAACCACCTTGCAGTAGACAAATCTCCTCATTCTTTAGTTAGTTTTTAGTTACACACTGTACTAAAGGCAGTTGTTGTTTTGATGATGGATCCAATCCAGTGGTGCCAGCATGGACGCAAAGATGAGAACATCCCACTGAAATGTAAAGAAAGGAGAGTGGAATTAATTAGCAACAAACTGCATATACAGAAAAGCAAAAAAAAAAAAAAAACTTATCCCAATCTATTTTACTGTTACCTTTTTAATAAATTAATGTCTCTAAGATATGCAACAAAATAAAATCAGAAAACAAATCAATTTGCTTTTGAGACAGAAACAAAGCACAGAACCAGGGTTAAGCAGTGGGGCTCTTTTAAATCTTTGATTTGTGTCTAATATATTTTTGAAGCAATAACAAATATTTATAAACATGTACTGAAGATGCATAAGCCTAGAACCTGATGCTCTCTGAAGTGGAACACAGTGTCACAGTGATACCTGCTGATATATCACAGTTGCAACATTTTAGACCATTTTCAACAGGTGTGATTAAAAGTGCCAATCCAGATGGATCTTTTCAATACTTGAAATTTTAAGTCTTCAGATTGCATGCAAGCAGGCAGATGTGACATTTTAACAGCAGGGGTGAAAATTATATCAGGCTTCCTTTAATGCCTGCTTCAGCATTTGATCAATTTCCTGCCAAATATTTATTTCTTTTGATGACCATATGACTGAATCACACAAACACTGCATTAGCCAACTACAACTGTATCTGTCCTGCAGAAATAAAGCAGTTTGACTTCACCTGAACAGCCATGTCTCAATGCTATGGAATCCTGGGATCTGTAATTTGTTGTGGCCCCAGAGCTCTCTGAGACAGAAGACTAAATGTCTCCCAAAACTACAGTTCTCAGAATTCCATAGAATTGAAGCATGACAGCTAAAGTGGTGTCAAACTGGATTATTTCTGCAGTGAAAAATAAGCCAGAGAAGGCTAAATATCTCACAAAACTATAAATCCCAAAATTCCATAGCACTGAGCTATGGTAGTTAAAGTGGTATCAAACTGCATAGTTTCTGCAATGCTGACAAACCTTTACAAGCACAACTCCCCCTTTCAATCGGAAGCAGTTTTCAGAAAGACATTCATTGTCTAATTAAGATATACATATATTGATTACTATATTCTTGAAAATGTTAATAATACTAGGGGTGGGAAAAATTCAAAAATATGCAAAAATGGTTGAAAAACAATGTTTTCTGACTATCAAGAAATCCTGTTGAATCCTGTTGCATATCAAGAAATCCTGACCCAAAAGAATGTTTGCAGATTGGGATTTATCCTTTTAAAAATCATATGTGTTTGTTTTGCACAAAAAACAGCACCTTCTATGCAGGAAACAACATTCTCTGCATAGAAATATTTTTTTTCTTTTGTCCAGAAAATGCTGTTTCAAACACAGAAAATGCTCTTTTCTGTTCAGAGCAACCATATCCAATTTGATTAAATGGCTGCTTGTAAAATAAGGGCCTTTGCAGACTGCCAGAAATAGTGCACATTAAATTGAGGCACTTCCCTGGCTCAGTGCTAGGGAATCATGGGAACTGTAATTTATTGTGGCACCAGAGCTCTCTGACAGAGAAGGCTCAATGTTCCAGAAAAAAATACAGTTCCCATGATTCCCTAGCACTGAGCCAGAGCAGTGCCTCAATTTAATGTGCACTATTTCTGGCAGTCTGCTTAGGCCTTCAGCCTCCAGGCTGCCATAATACTATACTGCCCACCCGACCAGACAGGGGCAGCATGGGAATGCTCCTGTGGTACAGCATTTAAACATGCTGCACTGAAGAAATGGAGGAAAAAACACCGTCACAGCGACAAGGGCAGCTTTTTTGCCAGCTCAAAA